GAAGAAGCAGCCACCAGCTTGGTGGCAGTAGGCGGCAAGTCCAGACTTGGTTCCTAAGTCACCCTCCAGCACATCACGGCAGCTTGCAGGATGCAGAAACAGGAAAGAACATCTTTGAAAAGCAGAGTGCACAGATTCTTTCCTTTAGGGAAGAAGGGGAAATGAGAAGCCATTTGCATCTGGATCTCACCAGGGAGCCATGGCCTCCACACAGATGCATGGTCTTAGGATGTCCAGACACGTCCCCTCTCCTCTTGCTGTGGCCCCAGCACAGCATCTGGGAGAATGTTTCTCTAACAGAACGTGAGGCTTTAAACTAAGGGCTACTTGTCTAGTTTAAGCTTTTGTTTATTATAATGTTAGCTGTTTGCTACTAAATGCCTTAAAGTTTACCTTTTAAAACCAAAAGAGTGATTATTTTTATCTATGCAACTTTCGAGTGTTGAGTTGCTGGGCTGGGAAGGACCTGGTTTCTGAATCCCTTTCAGGATGTCCACCCTGTGCCTGGGCTGGTGCCATGAGAAATGCAGTCAATAAAACCAGAAAAGTCCAGCTGTGATCCAAGGCCTCTCTGCAGCACTGAGGAAAAGAGGAGCAGAGGGCAGGTGGATGGTCAGTCCCCAGCCCCTGAGGACCATGCACTGCTGTCCATCCAGGAGTGAATCCCTGGTTGGCCAGGAGCACTCTGGGAGATGGACAGGGAAGCAGGAGTGGGATCCTTTCTCCTGTCGTCCATCAGCCTCTCCTGCCCTCCACGGTGACCACTGCTGTTAGTGCCCACTCCCCAGCACCTGGTGACCCTGCAGTTTTCTGAGTTAAGGAACTTGCTGACCCTGGACGCTTTGTGGGAATGGAATCACACCACAGGTGGCCGTTTGTGTCTGGCTCCTTTCCCGGTCACAGCCGTAAGGTGGAAACCACCCCAAATGCCCACCTTTCCTTGTCTCTTGATGGACACTGACTCCTTACCTTGCCTGCCGCGGATAACACCGCCATGAACCCAGGAGCTCCGATGTCTCTCCAGCGTTTTTACTCCATGCCCTTTGGCTCTCGCCCAGAATGGATTGCTGGATCACACGAGGTCCATTGTAGTTGTTCCAGAAGGCTCCACGCTGCTTCCCTAAGGCCTTGGATAACTTCCACTCCTGTTCCCTTCCTCCACACCCTCTCCAGCCATTCCACCAGACCCGAGGCACAGCTCCTTGAGATTTCAATTTGCATTTTCTGATGACAATGACTTTGAGCCTTTTAAACACACCCGTTGGCGATCTCTGTGTCTCCCTTGGAGGAACTCTGTTCCCATCACTTGCCCATCTTTGGACGGAGCTTCTTGGTCTCTCCCTACTGAGTTGTCTGGGATCCCTAGGTGGTGGGGCTGCACCCCGCGTGGGGCTGCAGGCTCTCCTCCTGTCGGGCAGGTCATCTCTTCCCCTGAGGTCTCCTGGGCCATGCAGGGCTTTCAGTTGGATGCAGTCCCATTTCTCTACTGCGGCTCTCATTGTCTGGGCTCTTAGGTTTGAATCCAAAACACTATCGCCCAGCCCAGTGGTCACGGAGCTTCCCCGCGTTCTCTGCTCGTGCTTGGGTGGCCTCAGGCCTGACGTCCGAGTCTGCAGTGCCCTTGGAGGTAGATCTTCTCCCCGCTCCTGCCTCCCCTCCCCCACGCCGTTTTGTTCCACTGATGGAGAGTCTGTTCCACCACCACCATGCCGTGTGGTCACGAGGGTCACGTTTTGCCACTACGGCTTCCAGGTGAGTTCTGGAGTCAGACGGTGTGATCTCTCCAGCTCACACTCAGGATTGCTTTGACAATTCAGGGTCTTTTGTGGCTTCATGTAAATTTTAAGGTTGTTTTTTTCTATTTCTAAGAAAACTATCACTGATGGTTTTAATAATTGATTTATGAATATTTACTAAACATATGACAATACAGATAGTGGATATTTAAAAATGATTCTTTCCAGTCTGACATTTCAACTGGTAACATGAAAGCATCACTTTTGATAGCAGGTGCTTGGTCCAGGTGACATTCATCAACTTTCAGTTGCTCAGTCTTAGGGCTCCTGAGTTTTCTCTCATTCTTGATAACTTCTTGGCTTGGACTTGGCACCCAAATTTGGTCCCAGGGAAGCGAAAGTGGTCCCACTGAACCTTTCCTCTTTTGTATCAGAAAAAAGATGTGTTTAAAGTAGCCATGTCCATTTGTGAGGTCTCTCTCCCTGTGATAATTAACAGAATCTGTGACTGATCGCTAGCTCCACAGTTAACGAAGCACATAGCAGTCTGAGCGCTAGAATGTTCTTGGAGGGCCTCTGATGATGGTTTTATTGTCCAACTTTAGTTATTTTTCGTAAGTAGAAGGTACGGTTTCAATAGAAAAGTGTGTTTGTACTATTCCACAATGATTCTTGAGGATTTTAAGACAATTTTATTCCTTAGTTGGGTTAGGAAGAAAGAACATATCTAAACATTTTCCTACCTGCTCTTTCTAAAGCAAGAGCTTGGAATGAGACAGAAAGAACTGAAGAAAGAAAACACCAGTTGTTACGGTTTGGATCTTGATGTCCCTCCTGAGCTCGCTGTGGAAGGTCCAGTCCCTGGTGCAGCCGTGTTCGGAGGTGGGTTTTGGGGTGACTGGATCTTGAGGGCTCTGACTCAGCAGTGGGGTGATCCCCTGGTGCATTCGGGCTCCACGGGCTTGTGGGGAGGGCCTTCTTTACAAAAGCAAGCTCTCTCTGCTTCTCGGGCACCAGGAGGCCAGCAGCTCTGCTCATCACTAGCTCCTGGATATGTGGCACCGTCTCACCTGAGGCCACGCAGTGGGCCCAGTGACCAGGGACTGTGAACTCTGAAACCACGAGCCAAAATAGACCTTTCCTCCTCACACACTGGTTTGCTCAGGCATTTTGCTACGAAAATGGACACAGTAGTGCTGGGGGGTTTCTTGTGTTTGAGTTTATTATTTATTTTTAAAGTATGGTCACAGGCTGATTTACCCCAGCTTCTCCCAATCTCTCTTGACTGGTGTGTGTGTGTGTGTGTGTGTGTGTGTGTGTGTGTGTGTTTGTGCGCCACGCCCCAGTCCTGGTCTTTTTAGGCTGGAACTCCCACAGCCTCTTCTAACGTACTGACTTTATCTGAAGGTAAAGAGCTCCTGAAGGCTGTGAGGAGGGCCTGGTGAGTCTCACCGGTGTCCCCTTTGGGTTAGACATCGACAAGACCACCCCAGGAATAAGCAGGGGTCTTGACCAGGCTGCCCTTCTCTTTAACCAGCTTAGGTCACATTGGCAATGTTCACGAACTCATCATTCTGGGTTCACCCAGGGACCGCACTAGAGAACCTCGGTCTCTGCAACACTCTGTCCCGAAGAGCAGCGATTTTCTACTGTCTCCAGGGAACAGCTTCTGCAGTCCTGCCCCGGGGGCTTCCACTGCCCTCCCACCCCGGGAGCCTTGTACACTTCTGTGCTCCTGGCTGGGGAGCCCCGTGTGCCTGGGCGGGAGAAGCCGTGGGAAGGGACAGACGGGGTCCTGCAGAGGGCTCGGGAGGATGAGAGCCCTCCTCAGGGACAGTTACCTGTCTGTGCAGCCAAGCTTCACTCTCATCCTCGTGTTTCTGAAACAAAATAAGAGCATTAGAGAGGGTTTCGTGTTGTTTGCGCTGCGGGGTCAACAGTGCAGAAAGCAATCTGTTCTCCTGCATGGCGGCTTCGCGAGCACGGCGGCGCGGCAGAGGAAAGGAGGCGCCCCCTCTCCTAGTGTGGCTCAGCGCCAAGCACAAGTGTCCTTGAACAAGAAGAGAGCCACTGTCCCTGATGACAAGTGCAATCCCCGCCGGAGAGGAATCCCACGGAAGACGGAGGCACTTACTCCACTTGGTGTCACACTGGCCAGCTGTGTGTCCCTCTGGTGGTCACTGCTGACCAGGCGTGTGCCCACTTACAGGCAAAGCTCGGGGGCTGCGCTGCTTTAGGGTTCTGGTGTGCACAGGGGAACACTCTCAGAATCTAATCTAAGGAGCAATCCTGGTGGGTTGAAACCTTTTGAAAGTGTTAAAATATGAGAACAGATCTCACAGGATTGCACAGAAAGATGCACCAACAAAAATAAGCCCCAAACACCAGGGTGAAGCTGTTGGGCACACTTGATGCCATCCCAGGGCACCAGGGGCTGGCACAGGCCTGCCCACGGGCTCCTTGGTGGCTGCTTTTCAGCCTGGGCTTTCTGGGTGGGAGGAGCGCTGTAGCTGACACATGCTGATTGGGCACAGAGAAGATGTGTCCAGCCTCCGGCTCCCAGAGGAGCCCTCAGAACAAACCAGAACCTCCAAATGAGATAAGAGGCAAGGAAATCCCTGACCAACTGGAAACAAGTCACTGGGGTAGCCCAGCCACTGCCTGCACCACCCAGGTGGGGTGTCCCAGCCCTAAGGTCACTTTCCATTCCCAGAGTTTCTGAAAGGCCTGGCTGAGTGTGATCATGGGGCTCAGAACTTGAGGCCAGGGACCTGCGCTCCCGGCTGACCAGCCCTGTGGCTGCAGTGTCCAGCCTGGAGGGGTGGCCTGCCTTTCTTGACTCTACCACATGTTGTCACCCAGGCTCTTGGACGCCTTGCTGGGGCTGCATGTACTGGGGAGGGAGGAGCCTGGCTCTGGGTTGAGGGGAGGAGACGGCAGCCGAAAAGGGCCCTCCAGGCTGAGGAACGCTGCACCCGGGCTCCCGCCTGAGCCTGTCCTTTCTCCCCCTGGAGCATCAGCTAGAAAGCTGGGCTCCTCCGCAACTCAGTGGTGCTGGGAAGAGACCAGGGTCTGCAGGTGCTGCAAGGAGGGATCTGGTGGCCAGGTCGCAGCAGTTCCAGAGTATCCCACCAGGTGGCACCAGAGCCAGCCCAGCCAGGGGCCACCTGTGAACCCCTCCAGGGCCTCCGCCTACCTTGGTGCACACCCCTGTGGTGGCATCGCACAGGGTCAGGATGGACACGTTCTGTGCGCGGTTCAGCCAGGTCACAGCCACCTTGGTGCTGGTCGCCCACTTCACCATGGTGATGTAGTACTCCCTGCAAACACGGAAAGGCACAGAGTGAGCAGCCTTGTGGGAGCACAGGAGACCAGGAGCCTGTCACACCACAGCCCCGGGGACAGGGTCCATGACCATGATGTGTGGAGACAGAGGCCGCTGCAGTTCTAGAGTGGGTTTGTCCAGAATGCAGGAGGACACAGAATCGGGTGGGCAGCCAGGCGCTCTAGACAGCCACTGCCGGCACCACCCAGGTGGGGATGTCCCCGCCCTGAGGTCACCCGCTGGACGTGGTGTACCGCTGATCTGGGCTTCATCCACAGGCAAATGCCCCACTCCAGAGGCAGTGGTGGGGAGGGATGAGAGGCAGGGGGGAGAGAGGGGCCGGAGAGGGGCTTCCTGGAGACCCAGCTCCCAGCTAATGAGGGCTGCATGGCTCTGCTGTACCCTCCTCTGCCTTAAAGTCAAACTGCCCAGTGCCGTTCTCTGTCGGCCTGGGGAGGCTGGCTCTTGCTCCAGGTGAGCTGGGTTTGATCTCCTGAGTGTTACACGCCTGCTTTTGCCCAAACCTGAAAATAACACTGTGCTCTGTGCCCCTAAATTAGTGGGAGGGAAACTGGGGCTTTGGGTCACTCTTTCACCCAGAGCTTTCCAAAAAAGTGTGACCCCCCCTCTCCCCAATCTTACGTTTAAGAAGAAGAAAATGTCAGGAAACCAAGTGCCCAAAAGGAGTGGCGGGTGAATGCCAAGAATGTTCTAGAAGCCAGCTAACACTGTTCCATCACCTACACCAACGTATCTATATTGAGATCTACTGTTAGAACCACTACTTTGTGGTCTCACAAGACCTTTTATCGCTAAAAGCTGTGGTGCATCTCCAGGCAACAGGGGAGCGGCCTCACTGCACAGAATAGTAATCCTAACAGAAAGGACTAAACAGCAGACGCTTAGAGCCAGCCCTCCTCAACCAGGAAATCCAATCGCTGAGGGCCTCGCGTTGCCCAAATCCACCTGCTAATAACCGAGTTTTCAATAACGCCCTAAATCAAGGGTACAGGACAATGAGGAGTCTCCAAACAGAAGGAGTCTGACCCTGGTGGTCCCCGGCATGGGGCCAGGAGGGGCTCTGGACCTGCCCATGCTGGGAATTTGCAGAGGACGTGGTGGTGAGTAGCACCCCAGATACGTGCACAAAGAGCCTGGCACTTGGGCATAGTTCACAATGTGTGGCTCAATTCATGATTTTCAAGACGCAGCCAGTTGTGTGCACACCACCTGCTCCCCAGCCTGCAGGCCCTGCTCCCCGTAAACGGGCTGGGTGTTTACCAGGTCTGTGACCTCCCTCCGTCTTCTTACCAGGTCTGTGACCTCCCTCTGTCCTCTGCCCTGGCTTCTGCTCCAACAGACAATGTGCTCTTTGGGCCTCATTTCCCAAGGTCCCAGCAGTTTCACTGCCCTAGGGCTGGAGCAGCGATTATGAAGATGGAATTTGTTATCTCTCTGAACATCTGCAGGCATAAACATTTCACTTCACTTTGATCCTTAAAAATATTTCAAGATCTGAGCTTGGGACTTGCTTCACATGGAACAAGTTCTATCTTTCGCGGTATCACAGCCGGTCTTCCAGTCTGCATGGGATTAAAGGGCTCTGGGAACAACGGACAGGAGTGACTGATGGCCTGGGAGCTGCTTCCCTGTCCAGGGAGTCTGCACCCAGGCTGCCTGTGAAGTCCCACGGGCACCGCGTTCCCTCTGCCAGCACACGTTGCCTGGGCATGAAATCAAGAAGGAAAGGGAAGAGCCCCAGGATGACGGATTTTCCCCAAGACCCTCATACTGAGTAGGGACAAGCCTAGTTTTACTTCCATTTGTTGGAAACATCCTGTGTGTCTTCCTGGTTTTTAGGGTGGTGTTCTGCACAAGTCTTCTTCATAGGGGTCAAATAGGCCTGTGTGTCATTGTCAACTTTCTATGTCCTAATTTTGCATATGAAACATCATAAATTGAAATTCACGGGTGGATGCAAACCTCCTTTTGGTAACCAAATCCCTGGCAACACTGTTGGAACAAGTCATCAAGAATGTCCCGTGGGGAGCTTGGGCTGCAGCCGGGGTCCTGTGGCAGCGGTAGCAACTCCGAGGCCAACCTAGCTGTTCTCCGGCTCACAACTTGAAGTCCTCGGTCACCAAACACCTAAGGCAGCACAAGCCTCCTGCATGGAGCCAGGGCAAGGTGAGGACACTGCCCGGGAGAGGCCACCTCCAGAAGTGGCAGCCACACCATTTCTTTCTCTGAATGTTGTGAAACACCTGTTACTGAATGGGGTGCTACATCCTCTTCCATTTCACTTCTCTAGTTGGGAGGAAGGTAGCTGAGTGGGTGGGGGTCACTGTACTAAGAATGAGGCTCCAGCCTGCCCAGTGTCCAGGGAGCCTTGGCTGGTGAGGTGACCTCCTGGCTGGGG